CACACACACACACACACACACACACACACACACACACACACACACACACACACACACACACACACACATGCACACTCTCTCTCTCTCACACACACACACACTGATCCCTGCTGCTGCTGCATCAACTGGAGGTTCATTTTCCAAAATAAAAGATGTGGAAAAGATTATTATCACAATCATTTTTTATTCATTAAAATTAGCAACGAAGCCTGTTTCCACCACGGGATAAAAAAATAAAGGAAATCATGACTTTTGCGCTGTTTATCTGCTATTTTCAAAGAAACTGTAAGCAGTTCTAGCAGTAGAGCAGAGTTATTATCATTAACTAAAACCAATAAAAAACTTTTTTGGGTTACGCTATTTTAAGGCATATATATATATATATATATGATGCTAAAATAACCCAAAAAATGCAAAAATATAAAACTGACATCTCATTCAAAATATGAACAAAACCTATAGTGCATCAGCTGGTGTTTAGTGTGCAGTTCCTCTCCCGGCCGCAGGAGGCGATCCTCACCCAATCAGCGCCGTGCTCCGCCTGTGTCTCTGTCACGTGCGCGCAGCGTGCGTTTGTGATGATGAACGCATGAGACGCTCGGTTTAGCGCTTCTGATTATATGAGTGGATTATATCGTGTTCTCTTTAGTATCTGATCAGAGCGTGTAACGATGAGGAAGCAGCAGACGCTCAGCCGCGGTCTGTCCGATAAAGTCCGCAAATCTAAAGCGGCTCCGGAGATCCAGAGAAACCCGTTCGAGGTGAAGATAAACCGCAAGAAGTTCGATGTTTTGGGCCGCAAGAGTAAACACGACGTGGGTCTGCCGGGGGTCTCCAGATCCAGAGCCAATCAGAAGGTAAAACACGCTAATGTTTGTGTTTGTGGACGTTTCCTGAGTAGCTACTGTCGTGTGGTGACGTCACTGTAACGCTGCGTTATGCCTCTGGGTTACGCGTTACTTTAATGTGTCTTTGTTACAGTCTAATTATACAATACGTACTGAGCAATATTAATTAAGTTACATGTACTTACTACAGGGTTAGGGTTTGGTTTAGGGTTACTTGCATGCAATTATGCATAATTAATTATTATTATTATAATAGTAAGTACATGTAACGTGTAACAAGGACACCTTAAAATAAAGTGCTACCTTCTTTTGTTATGATTGATAATATTTCATTGAAAACAGCTGAGTAGAATCTTTTCAGGTTTCTTTGAAGAATAGAAAGTTCAGAAGAACAGCATTGATCTGAAATGGAAATATTTTGTAACTTTATAAATGTCTTTATCTTTTATTTTATCTTTAATAAAAGTATTAGCTAATTTCTATAATGTCTTTCCCAAATATATATATATACTGCTTTTGATTTCAGATAAATGCTGGTCTTCTGAACTTTCTATTCATCAAAGAATCAAAAACTGTTTTAAATATTGATAATAATAATACTACTAATAAATGTTTCTCGAAGAGCAAATCAGCATATTTATATTCAAATAGAAGGCATTTATTTTAAATAGTTAAAATATTTCGAAATTGTACTGTTTTGCTGTACTTTGGATCAAATAAATGCAGGTTTGGTGAGCAGAAGCACATAACCAGATCTTTCTGTTCAAGAACTCTTGACTGGTAGTGTATATCGAATAAAACCCTACTAGGTCTCAGACGGCGTGTGTGTTTGATTCCTCAGAGGAAGGAGACTCTCCTGAAGGAGTTCAGAGCGAAAGACAAAAACAACAAGTTCATCGACAGACGCTTCGGTGAATATGACCAAAAAATCACACCTGAGGAGAAGATCCTGCAGAGATTCACGCTGGAGCGACAGGTAACACATCACATTCACCTGTAACAATAACTACAACTGTAACATATGTAACGATAGCTGTAACTATATACCAACATTTGTAACAATAACGACAGCTGTAACGGTAACTGTAACTATATACCAACATTTGTAACAATAACGACAGCTGTAACGGTAACTGTAACTATATACCAACATTTGTAACAATAACGACAGCTGTAACGGTAACTGTAACTATATACCAACATTTGTAACAATAACGACAGCTGTAACTGTAACTATATACCAAAATTTTAACAATAACGACAACTGTAACTATATACCAACATTTGTAACAATAATGACAGCTGTAACGGTAACTGTCACTATATACCAACATTTGTAACAATAACGACAGCTGTAACGGTAACTGTCACTATATACCAACATTTGTAACAAATAACGACAGCGGTAACTGTAACTATATACCAACATTTGTAACAATAACGACAACTGTAACGATAACTAACTATATACCAACATTTGTAACAAATAACGACAGCTGTAACTGTAACTATATACCAACATTTGTAACAATAACGACAACTGTCACTATATACCAACATTTGTAACAATAACGACAACTGTAACGACCAGGTGGGAGGACTGGAAATTGATTTGTGTCCATGGTGCCCTCAGTCTAGGCTTTATCTCTATACAAAGTCGAATCCGATCAGGAAGCAGGTGGAAAAAGATGTAGTCGTTGGGCTTAGAGGTTATTTTAAATGTTAATTAGAATGTGTGGTATGTAGACAGAAGTCAGGTGAAGCTTAAATAGTCTGGCTAGAGAAATTATCAAGATAAGGTTTATTGCTGTGAAGTGATATAACGTGGAGAGTGGACATGAGTGGAATGCTAAAATTAATGTACAGCAGCTTTTCAAACCTAGGAGCAACTGTGTGTACTGTGTGTGTTTGTGTAAGTGTGGGTGGATGGGTGGCACACATATGCTTTACATGTGCTGTATCTATTAACTAGAAAACAGCACATGGAATTCACACATACATTCAAATAAGTGGGAGGCTATTTATAGTCGCTAAGTGATCTTTTTGCTTCAACATTGTTAAGCTACTTGTCACAGCAAAAATTGTAGGGTGCTATATAATTTAATCACAGATAACATTTACTCTTCGTTCAGTAAGTCACGCAAATGAGCATTCACAATTAAATATCCAATATCAATTGATATATATCAACTATCGACGATAAATTACAAAAATTGGAGGCAATTAAAAAATTCCCAAAGACACCCAACCATCACACTTTTTACTTACTCATTTATTTTATTTTATGGTGGTTACTTTCCATTTTGATTTGAGCCAATTATATTTACACTTTTGAAAAGTTTGGGGTCAAGAACTGACAAAGACATTAAATTGATCAGAAGTGACATTAAAGACTTTCTATTTCATTTAAAATATTAAACAAAAAATTTCTATTTCAAGTAAATGCTGTTTTCCTTGTGAGAAATGTTGGCTGGTCCCCACAATGCAGGTGATTTCAGGTTTTTATGATTATTGAGGATCAACCCCCTCCCACATAAATATGAACCTGCAATGCAGCTGCAACTGGATAACTTCAAACCCACTGTGCTTTCTCTGTTGATGATAGCCTGCAGGCAGGATACACTGAACTCAGTATATTTGTGCCTGAGGGAATGAAATCTGACAGCGTGAGCCCAGAGGGATATCTGACAGCACACTCACTCTCACACGCAAGTGTTAACAGATCCTGTCACCAGGAAAGCAGCAGAGACCAAGCGTAAAGGCCCAGGTGACTCAGAATTTCAGTCTGTAGATTTCATGTGATGGCAAAATCACTCTCACAGTCTGTCAAACTGTTCTATATTTACTAGACTGTGCCACCAGAGGGAAGTAGATGCATAAGTACCAAAATCAAATGTGGTAAACCCAAACAAAAATTTTACTTTAGTCATAGCCAGGCCTATACTGAAAATTTGTGTCTGCAGAACTCAGAATTGTCATTCGATAAGCTAAACATCCAGTAAGCTATGCACTGTGTATATTTAATTATTAAAAGATTTAAATAGTTTTATGCTTTAGCAGATTAGCCCAATAAGCATGTACTAGTTAGTTTGCTTTAGCTTGCCTTATCAGGTTTAATTGTATTGTGCAGATTTCGCAATAGCAATTCAATAATGTCCATAGATTCTAGTTACGTCTTATTCATGGGGTATCAGAGGTGGATATGGAGGAAAAAGAGTAGAGAAAGTATAAAAACTCACTGTAGACAAGAGGCATGGGAAACTAAACAAATAAACTGAAGGAAAGGGCAAGAAAGGGGAGTGAAGGAAAGGAACTGATTAAAAACCATCAGATCAAGACCTCAGGTGGTTTTCTCTTTTTCTCTTCACTCTCTCTGACTGCAGACTTTGGCCATATTCTGCAGACAGTTCCAATTTCAAGCATCTAAATTTATCCTTGAAGAAAAATGAACAGTTGAGCTGAATAGTAGGGGAGACTGGAGGCAATTGTGAGAGGAGGAATTATAACACACTAGATGTCAGAATTTCTGAAAACAATGAAATCAAAATTGCCAAATCGTTAACTTCCCCTCAGAACGACATCTCTTTTCTTCTCTGATGATGTATGTACTAGCACGTAACTAACTATATACCAACATTTGTAACAATAACGACAGCTGTAACTAACTACATTTGTAAATTTGTAACAATAACGACAGTTGTAACGGTAACTGTAACTATATACCAACATTTGTAACAATAACGACAGGTAACTGACA